ATATATATGATATAATATATGCATGCATATATTATATCATATATATTATATGCATGCATTTATATATATATATATATATATATATATATATATTTGATTGTCGTCGAAATATCAAAGCAATTAAATTAATGTGGAAGTACATTAAATTTTATTGTTTTTTAAAAATTTTTTAAAAAACCGCAATAATAACGACTAGAAAGTTTTTTTTAATTAGTGGTGTTTTTGTTTTATTAAAAAACATTTTTAAAACATGCGTAAATGTTGCTACATCGACTATCTTATAGCCTGCTGCTACAAGGGAGTGTTTCTACATTGACTATCTTATAGCCTGATTCGCAACGGAGTGCTGCTACATCGACTGACAAATAGCCTGACTTGCAAGGGAGTGCTGCTACAACAACTGACAAATAGCCTGACTCGCAAGGGAGTGCTGCTACAACGACTGACAAATAGCCTGACTCGCAAGTGAGTGCTGCTACATCGACTGAGGGTTTGGTTTGGGCAGGCAGTCTATCATTTAAAAAAAAAAAAAAATTAAGTTTTTAAACTTTTTCTGGTCTGGTTTATTAATGCGCTCTTTAAAACTACAGTTTATGGGAAACTCTTTTTGACTACCATGCAAGAGTATATATATATATATATATATATATATATATATATATATATATATATATATATATATATATATATATATACTACTATAGCATATTTAAATGCGCAATTGCTTACTTTTTTTGCTAGCCTAAATTAGGTGAGCGTTTTTAGAAAACGATGAGGGAAAATGAAGAATAATGAATGAAAAGGTTGCTGACCCATACCAAACCCTCAGTCGATGTAGCAGCACTCCACTGCGAGTCAGGCTATTAGTCAGTCAATGTATGTACTGAAGCCCCCAGCAGCAGGCTATATCACATTAGGTGAGTATGACATCATCATGCTCACCTAACTCAGCAGTATAAGATATATATATATATATATATATATATATTACGGATGCACCGAACCCGGTTTTTGGCCAAACACCGAATCCGAACGTTCAGCTATGAAAGTTCGACCGAACACCAAACCGAATACCGAACTTTTGCTTTTTTTAAATATAAACATTGGTTAACGTCAAAAACATTTTGAACTCGAAGTGAAAACTATATTTTTAAAAATTTAATGTGTTTTTTAAACATTAGATTTATTTTGAAAATATGTGAAGAAATTTTAAATAACTATCAAAAGTAAATTTATTATTAGATGATTGTTTGTAGTCACTACACTACAATGTAGTGTAAAGAAGTAAAAATGTTAAGAAGTTTTTATTTGAAAAATGAAAAATTAAATTTATGAGTATGACTTGTTAATAATGAGTATAACTTATTAATAATGAGTATAAATAATTAACAATTATAATATAATAAAATTATATTGTAATTTATAAATTAAACTTCTTAAAATAATATTTTACGTTAAGGATTTATTTTAATAGTTGTTAATTGTTAATGTTAAGGCTTAAAGTTAAGCTATTTAGCTAACTTTTATATTTGTAGACTATACTAAAAGCTTAGCTTAAATATTATAATATAATATAATATGTTATAACATTTAAGCTAAATTTGTACTCTATTCTACAAATATAAAAGTTACCTAATAAAAATAAAAGTATAAAGGTATAAGGTATTAAAACCTAGTATCTGGCATGTTTTAAGATTATATTTTTTTCTTAAACTTTATTTATTTATTAGTATATACTTTTAATTATTTAGAAGCATAAAAAAATGTCTTCAAAAATAAAATTTAAAAGTACTGTTTGGAAATATTTTAAAGTTTCAAAGAAAGATAATCTTTGTATTTGCCTACTATGCAAAGCATTACTTTCTAGAGGTGGGAATTGTCCTAAAACATTCACCACTAGTGCAATTAGACACCATTAAAAAAACAAGCACTTTGCAGAATATAAAATAGCTGAAAAAGAGTCTGACAAAAAAAAAATTGAAACATCTACAGCCTCTACATCAAGTGATTTTGAATTAAAAAAATAATATTACTGGAGAGTCTTAATAAAAAAAAGCTGTGGGATGTAAATGATCAAAGAGCTATCAAAATTCTCAATCACATTGGAGAAATGATGGTGTTGGACATTCAACTATATTCGATTGTAGAAGATCTTGGTTTTAGAAAATTAATTGAAGAGCTGTTTCCTAATTATCAAATACCTAGTAGGAGATATTTTAGTGAAAATATTATTCCACAAATATATAATAAACTATTTAGTTCTATCAAGAGTAATAAATCTGCTGCTATTCATATCTCTCTTACAACTGACATTTGGACAGCAAATAGTTCAAATGTTGCCTTCATAAGCATGACAGCACACTGGCTCAGTAATGAATTTTCCCAGCACAGAGCAGTACTCAGAGTTATGCATTTTCCAGAAAGTCACACAGGAAAAAACATAAGTGAGTATTTACATAAAGGTTTAATAAGTTTTTTCATATTGTTTTACAAGATAATGTGGCCAATATGGTAGCTGATGTAAGAGACTGGTTTTAGATAAATGCCATGTTTTATACATACAATACAGTTATGTATACATGACTCAATTCTGTCGCAAAAATCTGTTAAGGATATTTGAGCTTGTTGCAGACGTCTGGCAACTCATTTTCACCATTCCCCAACAGCAGCAGCAAAATTAAAAGCAATTCAGGAACAACTTGGTACAAATATGCACAGGTTAATCCAAGATATTACTACAAGATAGAACAGTTCTTATGATATGATTGAAAGGATGCTTGATCGAAAAGTTCCTTTGGCAACTTATACAGTTGATCATCCTACCCAATCAACACTAAATTCATTTCAATGGGACTTATTAGATAAAGTGTTGCATATTTTAGAACCATTTAAAACTTTAACCATTAATTTCAGTAAACGTGAATCATATTTGTCAGATGTTATTCCTTCAATTATGGCTCTGAAAGAATTTTTTAATCAAGCACTAGTATGTGAGGCTTTTTTAACAATAAATACTTTAGTTGAACATTTAAGTGGGTCAGTAGACAAAAGATTGGGTCCATATTTACATGATAAATATTTATGTCTTTCCACTTTTTGTGACCCTAGATATAAATTGACATATCAAAAGGAAGACAAGGATAAAATAAAAAATTGGATAAATGAACAGATGCAAGAAATGCAACAAAGTAATTTAGAACTTGAATCCTCTGATTCTGATTTTGACGAACCTTCAGTACATAACAAAAATGAAGTAATTGCAAAACCAGCTTATCCAAAATTCAATGAATGTTTTAGAAAGTTTCTAAACTGATAACTATAGATGAATGTGATTCCAATTTTGTAAATACTGAAAATAGCAAAAGGTTAAAAAGATCAAATTCTAATATACAAATGATAAACAAGGAGATTGAAGAGTATTTAAAGCTACCTCTTGTCAAGAAAAAGAAAGTCCTCTCTTGTGGTGGAAAAATTGTGGAAACTCTTTTAAAAATTTAAAGAAAATTACCCAAACTTTTCTTTCAGCACCACCATCTTCTATTGAAAGTGAAAGACTTTTTAGTACAGGTGGCATCATTTACGAACCCAATAGAAACAGACTATCACCAGAAAGTGGCAAAAAATTAATGTTTATTCTTTATAACTTGAAGACAACGAATGATAATTGATTTTCACTCATGTTTTTAATGTTTTATTTTTTCAATAATCGATTATTTTGTTAGGTGAAAGTTTAAAATTGTTGATTTGTCTAGTATTAATACTATTGCATGTTTAGTTATATAATAATAACATAATAGTATATGTTATTTAGTAATAACTACATAATAAATTGGAGCATTTTTATGTTTTTGATCACCACAATAACATTTTTCCCTAAGTTTATTCCTTTCAAATAATTTTCTCAGTTCAACTAGTTCAGTAGCCAAATTACAAGCAACTTTCTTTATAAAGATTTTTTTTTTAACACAGCAGCAATAGGCGCCACTTAAAACGGATATTTCTATCTGTTATTTTAAGTTTATTTTATATTACATTTTTGCGATTTTTCCAAAATAAAAAATTTGCTTCTTGCATGAATTTTATAACTTAATTTAAGTTTAATTATTATTATTGTATATAAAAGGATAAAATTAACTAAAATATTGGTCAATTGAAAGGATTTTTCATTTTTCACTTATACTAGTACTATTTTTTCTAAATGATGTAAGTTTTACGTAATACATTTGGTTTAAAGTAATATATGCGATCAAATTAAATATGTTCTAAATTCAAAAACTTGATGTAAATCTAATATACTCAAGTTTTCTATTGAAAAACACCTACTATGCGTTGTAGATAAGAATCGGGTTTTCAATTAAAAGGCATATCTATTGGTACTGTAGCTATTTAGGCTGAGTTATGATGATTTGATGATATTAATTTTCAAATTAGCATTTTAAGCAAATGTTTGGCTGAACATTTGTCAAGGTTCAGCCGAACCGAACATTCGGCAAAACAGCCGAACGTTCGGTGCATCCCTTATATATATATATATATATATATATATATATATATATATATATATATATATATATATATATATATATATATATATATAATATTTATATGGTATTATATTTATATAATATTATATATATATATATATATATATATATATATATATATATATATATAATATTTATATGGTATTATATATATATATATATATATATATATATATATATATATATATATATATATATATATAATATTTATATGGTATTATACTTATATAATATTATATATATATATATATATATATATATATATATATATATATATATACATATACATATACATATACATATACATATATATATATATATATATATATATATATATATATATATATATATATATACATATACATATATATATATATATATGTAAATATATATATATATATATATATATATATATATTATATATATATTTATATATATATGTTTATATATTTTCTATTATATAAAAAAGAAGATTTGATAGTGATGACAGACCAAGTTGATACTCTTATATTGGAGCATATTGCAAGTTTTGGAAGTGCTGATACATTTGAATTATCTAAGGAGCATAAAAGTGATCACCAACTTTTTGTTGGTGCTGTTAAAAGACTACAATCTCTTGGAAATGTGAGTTGATATTTTTTAAATAAAAAATGCATATTCTACATACAATATGACAGAGCCTATTCTAGGAAAAAAATTTGGGCGGCAGTACCCCCTTGTTTCGGCAGACTTTAGCGGAAAATCTGCATTATTTTTGCGAAAAAACAATATTTGTAATAATAACGTAAAAAAAAAAAGTTCCTCAAATTTTAATTTGGGTGGCACCTAAATACAGTTGATGCTGTCGAAAACGGTCTAAAATAGCGTCGGTATGAATTTGTATATAAATGCAGTATAAACTGACAAAAACTTTTAGATATTATTTATATGTTATTTATAAATTGTTATATTATATATTTTTTAAGAATCCTGTTAATGAACACCAGAAACACTAAAGTTTAAATTTTGTAAATCATAGTGTAATAATAAAATATATTTGTTTTTTCTTACTGTCTTTCTGAATATCTTTACTCAATATTTGCAATACATTTGCAAATACCCTTGAGAGTATAATAAACAGTATAAACATTATGTACAATATAATATATACGACGCGCCCACAACATTCCTTATGATGCAACACGTTAATAGTTTATATATAATACAATTATTTACACTAATTACGACATTCCTTGATCTCTAGATCACAAAGTCGGCATACTTATTCGGAAACTTCTGCACATGCGTCGATCTTCTGAGATTCAGGTTGTTCGCGGTGGTTCTTCCGGTTCTCTCGTAGACAAGTCAGCTACAATGGGAGCTGGACGGACATCCGACATGTGTCTCGGCAATCCATTGACTTCTACCGAAACTTTTTGTCCTTCATCTGAGACTCTTCCTCTATTCCATTTGCTAGTACATTTTGAATCAGGTGGTTTTACAAATACTTCTTGTCCTTGTGTGTAGTTGTGGAATATTTCCTCATTAGTTTTGGCAAAAATTGTGTGTGGTTTCCATTTATAGGAAAATATAGCTTTGTAGGGGAGCGATGTTTCCTCACCATTTTTTCTGAGAGCCACGTTATACCAATATACCATTTTTAACGGATCTTTGCCATTTCTTGCTGCCATGCGCTTGATTGTGCGATAGTGACGTTCAACAATTCCATTTCCAGATGGCCTGTAAGCGCAATGAAACAGAATAGACACTTCCCATTCTGCGCATAATTTACCAACGAGTTTTGATCGAAAGGTCTTGCTGTTGTCAAGAAGAACTTGCCACGGAGGTCCTCTTTCTTGAAATATTTCTTCTAGATGGAAACACACTGTTGCTTCTTTCTCGTTTTGTAGCTTCCTCCAAATTGCAAACTTGCTCCTTTTGCCACAGTCAATGATAGACAAATAAATCTCTTATTTATAGTGGGTAACGTCAATAGCTAAACGGTACAAGTTCTTTCCAACTTCAAGGTTTACTTCTTTGCATCTGATTGGAGCAGGATCTACCGATAAACATTTTTTGCAACTTTTTACGACTGATTCAATGTCTTTTCTACAAACTTTCTCCTTCGGATATGTCTGTTTTATCAAATAAAGGGTTCGATTTACTCCAAAGTGATGAAGATTATGAAACGACTTCACATCAGGCGGAACGAGATTTGCTATCATTGCAGAATGGTTTGAATGCAGCCAATTCTGTGGTATCCTCGTAAGAGCATCGGCTTTATTTTCTGCTGACTTAACCAGGAAAAGTTTTAATTGTATACCGCACTCCTTCACAAGGTCTTCAATTAACGACAACCGGCGACGGACAAGTGGTTCTCCAAGACCGTGTACTCGAATGAGTTTGTCACAGATGATTAAGGATTTCAACCAGCCAATAACAGTAGCCGACTCACACTTTATGGTAATACATTCGAATCCTCATTTTGTTGCTAGATTGATTCCTTTTATCACAGCTTCTAACTCTGCGAGATTAATGTGATCCGCATCATCTTGTTTTCTCAGCCACAAGCAGTCTTCTACTATTTCTCCAGCCACTTCCAGAACTATGCCAACAGCTAAACTGCTTGCATCGCACCACACTGTTGCTTCAGAAGTGTTTTTTATGTTCCATGACCCATGAACGGGATCTTCCTTTGTAAGTCTTTCATTTAAACTGCTTACTAATTTGACAACATGATCGTTCACCAAAGTGTCCCATCCACAACTAATTGAAACCCTTTTTAGATTTAGAAACCAATTTGCTATTGGAAAATGTCCAGTCAGCTGTCTGCACCAAGAAAAGATTTGCCGACGCGTCATTTTTCCTTCAGTAACTTTATGTATGTTGTCACGTTTCCAACGCACTTGGTTGTTTTGTTTGTACACTCGCAATCCAAGCACACGCCCACTGACAAGTTTTCTGGCAGCTTAGAATCCAAGCAATATTTTTTCAAGAGTTCTTAAACTCTACAACTTGACACTATGTTATTATTGACAATGATGTCATCAATAAATGTATCCGCCTCAGACTCGACAACTTTGTTTAAGGATAATACCTTTTTTAAGATTTTTGTCATTATTCTGGGCGCCACATTTAAACCAAAACCCAATCTTGTTAGACAGTATCGCTGCCCTTCATATTCCACAACTTGATATTTCCATAATGCTTCGTCGACACAAATCTGCAGGTACGCTTTTTTTAAATCGATTATCTCAAGATTTTCTCCCAACTTTCTCCAGTTGAGAAGTTTGGTACTGCAAACATCACCATCTGCAGTATGACTGGATACAAATTGATTAAGCTCCCGGTAGTCCATCCCCAGACGTACTTTTAATTTGTTTTGTTGAATTACTGCCATCAACGGAATGATTCCATTACATTTCCCTTCAAATGGTTTCAGCCAGAAAGAAACTTGAGGAGAACTTTGGAGAAAGTTGTGCTATCCTTCACTTATTTCCATTGCGTACTCACTTTTAACGTCTTCAGAGATGTGATAGTTTAGAATTTTGTTTGTTGAAGTTGGTGGTTCCATCAGCCGTTTCCAAGACACGCTCCAGCTGCCACTTTTGAATTCTGCTACGAAGTCTTTATCAATCAGCTTTTGAACAGTAGGCGTGGATACTTCATTTGTTTTCCTTGAGAGACTGCAGTAGCGCCGATAGTTAGTTGCTCCACATTAAAGTTTATGGTTTCGCCATCTCTCCCAACTTGGACACCTCCGAGCAGTTGTATTGTGTTCATACCAAGTAGCACTTGATATTCGGGATCAATGTTGGCAACCAGGTATTCCAAATCGATGGTGGTATCATTTATAGAAAGATTAACAACAGTCTGGTATTGTACTTCAATTGACTTTCCATTCATCATAACAACCTTTTCGTTTGCATGTTTGACATTTTTTGGGTTTACAATATCCCGACTTAAAATTGATTTGGAGCATCCAGTATCTAACAATGCTTTTATTTTTCTTCCATTGACATACAGGCGGAGAGTTGGCGGTTTTAAATTTTGTGGGAAGCCACTCGCACAAAACCAGGTGGCTTCCCTTCTACGTTTTTTGAGTTCGTACACCTTTTATAGCAGTACTGGACCAGGTGATTGCCCATTCCACACACAAAGCACCTCTTCTTCTCAATCTCTTTGCTGCAATTTTGACTGATATGTCCACCCTTATTGCAACGCTAGCACATTATGGTCTTTTTTCCGCGTCCTTTAGGAACCTGTCTTGAACTAATGGCAACCGGATTCATGCAACTGACAAAACACGATTCTTTGTGACATAAAATTACCAAACTTCTGGATTTTTCAGTGATCTGGCACAGCGACATTGTTGATATTGAGCATGCAGTTTGCAGCTGTTTTCTTGCTTCGTCAGGTAATCCAAGAATAAATGCCCACCTTATCCACTCTTCGCTTACGTAAGATGATATTAGCTTGCTCAGTCTTGTTAATTCTGCAAGATATACGTCAACGGACTCATTCTCTTTAAGGCGGCGATTTAAGAATTCTTTGTATGCTGTTAGCGGAGAAGCAGAGAAGGCAGTAGTCAGTGCAGTTTTCACTTCATTGTAGTCTTCTTTTATCTCATCACTTAGGCCTTGATAAACGGCAAACGCCCCTCCAGAAAGAATAAGGGGAGCACCACATGCAGCTCGTCAACTTTTTGAAGTTTTGCTACCAGTTCCGATTTCTGTATCTGTATTCTGAAAAATCACCCGAACCATCATTTTGTGATACCAGATCCGCAAACTTTATAACAATACTTATTGCCAAAATAGCTTGTTATAATAAAATATATTTAAAAATTTTTAATTTTCATATGCTATACAAACTATTGTGATAATTTAGTGGTACAGAAAAAATATTATTATATTATATATATTGTAACTGAACTATTTTTTAATATCTAAAAAAAGTTGTAGTTTTAAAGAAATGGTTAGTGTGCATAGTGTCCAGTGCTTTGCCTTTTATTATTGTCTTGAAGAGTCTCTTACAGAGTTTTGTGTTGGTTTACCATATTCTATTCATTTGATAGTCTGGTTGCAGAGATAGAAGAGTTATTAAGAGTTCAGTATTATAAAAATAGAAGATATACTTGAGTAAGATAAAAATATAAACAACATTATTAAAAGCAGTTATCTTAATGTTGGTTTTAAGTGAACTATATTCACCAATATAGATGCCAAAAATGATATCAAAATAACTTAGACCAAGTTCAGAGATTTACCTTCTTCTATAACAGTTTGATGATTTAATGTAATGGTGAGATTCATCGTTAAAGGGATCCCAAACTCCCAACACATGTTGTGTTCATATTAAAGATAATGTTAAAAAAAAAGGTTTGAACCAAATTTTTTTGATTAAAAATAAATAATGAATGCATACCGTGAAAAACAAATGTTGTTGTTTTTGCCGAAGCTCGTCTTCTCCATTTTTTTGAACTACTCGGAGTCTTCAAATTATGCATCACAATCTACAGACTTTGGCAATTCCTTTGAAGCGCGTTTAATTCATAAAAGTTTTAGTATTTGACGTCACGGTAGACTTTTAACAAATGAAACTCTAGAAATATAAATAAGTTTTTTTGATTATTTGTTTAGTTT